TTGTGGAGGAGGTGGAGGTCAATAGGATTTTTAAAGACTACAGCTTCAACGCAAGATCACAATCAGAATGGCACTCCGTATCAACAGACGTACATTCAACTATATTTGACAAAAAAAAGGCACATTCATTACTTTACCTGCTGGGCACGCTTGTAATATGCATCATAATATCCAGCTGAAAGTGCATATGTCCCCATTAGAATTCTCAGTTTAACCTGAGAAAAAGAAATCAGATGTTAGCCTTAGCCAAGCACCACAACTAAAGCAGATGTCAGTACTATTTCCTTAAATGCTACAGGATAACTCATGCTATGACAACAGACACAAGTTTTGCTCATTTTGGAGGGGTGGATTGCAGAACTATGGTACTAGGACTATTCACTTTGCCCTGCTGTACTTGTGTTGGACAATCATTTTGCACTAGAGTACCCGTGTCCTTGAGACTCCCATACCCAACTCCAAGTAACATAGGTGCATAATATCTTTCAGTAGAATAGATGATGCATACCTCAGAACCAAATCCTTCAGCACGAGAATCGCCATACAAGGAACTTAGCTCATCAGCAAAGACCTGATTTCCAAATCTGAAAAGGTAAGAAGTTCAAATTAAACAAGACAACTAAATTGCCACTACTACTTGCTCAGTGGTCCTAACATCTCTTCCCAATCATTAAGAACCCAAACCAAATAGTGCAAGGGGAATCTGAAAAATAAACAAAACTCCAAGTTTTACCTAACTCCATCATAGCGGGCTAAGTTTGAGGATGATTCAGATGAAGCAAGAATGTAGTATGCTGGCAAACCAAGGGAGAAAGATGGGAATGAGACCTGCGAGTTGTAAATATCAAATGCTATACTTTTGTTGATTCACACACAAAACTGAAGACAGGTGAACATTCTACTCATTTAAAAAATAATAATAATAAAAAGAAGATCACCTCAGATATGGTGCATCCCAAATCCTCCAAGTGAGAAACAGAATGTTGGAGTGACGAAATTACATCTGGATCAACTCCATCAGCAAGGGTTTCACGGATGACACCTACTCTAAGTCCTTTCAAAGGTTTAGAATCCAAATAATCCTTGGGAATAAACTGGGATGCAAAGTTAGGAATTCCCTGAAAAGAAACATTCCCATCAATGTAGCAATATCATTTTGATACTAGTCAGAAAAAATATGCACACTTGACACTAAAAGCGACATTTACAGAAAAGCAGGCAGCACCATCATGCTGCTCTTAAGCAATGTCTTCCACAAATACAGTTAATATACATTCACTATGAACTTAAGTTGATTCAACTTCCTCTTAATATATGTTTTTTCTGGCTTCAAATAGAGTATAAGATGCATGCCCTTACGTAGTACAGGTAGAGGATTTGATAGTGGTATGGTACATATTTGAAGTTAGGTATGTAATACCTACGACGATATTAACTTCCACAAAGAAATTTATTCACAAGGAAAAGAAACTCACTTGTTTACTACTAGTGGCATCAAATTTATCATGACCCGAAACTGCCTGAAGCACAATCCCTGTATCAGCAACTGATGAACCCAAGCATCCAATGACATCTAGGGATGATGCATAAGCAACAAGGCCATATCTTGAGACACGACCATATGTTGGTTTGAGTCCAACAACACCACAAAATGATGCTGGCTGCCTAACACTTCCACCAGTATCAGTTCCCAATGACACAGCACACTGTTGAGCAGAAACAGCTGCTGCAGAGCCCCCAGATGATCCCCCTGGTACCCGAGATAAATCCCAAGGATTAGCTGTCACCTATTGAAGATGAAGATGCATCACCTGAGCAAACCATTTCAAATTACAAGTTGCAGATTTTAGAACCAACTCATGTTCACAGCTGAGAAACTCATGTTTACAAGAGAAATAGGGGGTTACTAATGAGATCGTCAAAAGAGAACGTGCAGCAATTCCAGTTATCCTACTGCCATTTAAACCACCCAGGAAGAAACAGCAATTATATCTGATACCAAATTTGCATTCACAATACCAAGTTGAACAGAGGCTTTTCTTTTCTATTTTTCCGGCAATACGTACCTTAATTCATTTAAAAGCAAAAAAGTAAAAACAAGCATTTTTTACTCCTCTCAGATTCAAATTACTAGTTTCAAACTTCAAACTTAGCACCAGCATCCAAGTCCAAGTTAAACCAAGTATATGTGAAGTAACAGAGTGCGTATCCAGACTACCCATAATACACTAAATTTTAAAACCCAAATCCAACCATCCATTTTCAGACCATTCAAATATTCAAGAAAGCTCTTCATTTCGCACAGATAACACGTCCTAAAATACTTAATGAGTTTCCCCCATTTTATGGCGTTTATGAGTCACAATGTCTTAAGCATTATATACCTTAATTTCACTACTTGACTAACCTTGACCTAGTCTCCAATGCAGCGCTCACTCAAAACCACTGAACATACAAGCTTAAATCACACTCAAGTCTATAGAAGCCATTTGTTTTCCATACCATATCTGATAAGACGTACAAGTAAGCTATCAGATACAGTATCTACAAAATTTAATTTAAAAAAAATTCCAGCTACAAACACCCAATGTAATTACCTAAAAACGCAAACTTTCCTGTTTGTAGAGAGCAAAAATCCCAACTTTGATCTCATTTCTAAATAAAACTGCATTTACACAAAATCTTAGAAAAATGAGTAACGAAAGAAAAATGATAAAGGTAAAACTTCTCGCCTGATAACCAGAGGCTTCAGTAGTACTTCCCATACCAAACTCATCCAAATTAGTCTTGCCAACAATGATAGCGCCATTTTCCCTCAACTTTTTAACCGCCGTGGCATCATATGGCGGAGTATAATTCTCCAAAATCTTGGACCCAGCAGTGGAAGGCATATCTGAAGTGCAAATATTATCTTTAACCCCAGCAAGAACTCCAGCAAGAGGGCCCAATTCCTCATTGTTCCGAATTTTCCTGTCAATTTCTTCAGCCTGTTTCAAAACAGCATCTTCCGGGGATACGTACAGAAAGCTCTTGAGTTGGGGTTCGGTGCGGCGGAGGCGGCTGAGGAAAGTCTTGGCTATTTCCACCGCTGTGGTCTCCCGGGAGAGAAGGGATTTACGGATTTTGAGAATTTGGGAAGTGGGTTGGGGGGAGGAGGGTGTGGGGACAGGGGTAGTGGAGGTTTGGAGGCACCTGAGGGGTATTTGATGGAGGGTTGAGAGGCGGAGAAGCCTCGGACTTTGGATTGAAGATAGCATATTGTTAGCTCGTTTCTGAGGAGGGAAAGAGGAGGAAAGGCAGAGGATTTATTTATGGGTTTATGGCAGCTGTGGGTTTTTGCTGATCTATCCTCTCAGGAGGGATGGCTAAAGCCAGTCTCTTAAAGGCGTGATCGTGTGATTGAATTAAAGACCTCTGCCACGTTAAAGGCGCAAACTGAGTGCGAAGTGTTTAACGCGCCTTGTATAAATTAACAACGCATTTCATTTCTTCAATTTTCTGTTCATTTTGTTACCCTCAAAAGAAGGGAGAAAAAAAAACGTAATAACCTTTTGTCATTTAAGATATGCAAATAGAAATGTGATTCCTTAATCCTTTTCTATTTTCTGCCTTTTTTTTGTATTAATACATGTATTCAAGTATTTTGTACAGTAAGTTATTTGCTTTCTTTACTCTTTATCTTGTTTCATCCAGTAAAGGTTCAGGATTGCAGGCTAATAGCAAAAATCCGGTACATTACCCTGTTCAAATAGTCAAATACCAACTCTTTCTTTGTTCATGGCAACACTTCTGGCGGACATAGTGCAGTTCTCAACATGAGAATGCTCAAATCACCAGATAAAAGGGCCATTCCATTTTTTTTTTTTTTTTTTGGTGCATGTTATTTTGCATTTGATGACATGCAATCTGTTATTTTGCAGAAACAGATTCCATACTATTACTCTCCTGAATGTTGTCTTTCTTTTGCAATTAGCTGGGCACGTCTCCCCTCAAGTTGCTCCAATTCTGCTTCCTGTGCTTCAATTTTGTTCCTGACTGCTGCAATTTGCTCGTCTAGGCGTTGTATAGCAGTATTTATATCCTCATCACCGACTTCTTCAGTTCCAACAGCTGAAGAAGCACCTCCTGATGTCGCCTCATCACTGACTTCTTCAGTTCCAACGGCTGAAGAATCACGACCTGAGGACACCTCATCTTCTGAACCATCTTTGTCTACTTCAGTTGTCTCCAACTTGATGTTCTTGCCTATGGTAGTAGTCAAGTCTAGGGGCTCTTTCTTCAAATAAGGCAGGATCTGGTACATGGTAAAGCATGAATTAGTACACAAGCATCTAAAATCACCCAAAAAAATGGGGGAATAATGATACTCTTTGATTAAATGGACTGAACATATTCAAACCTCTGAAATCACGCAATGAATGTGAGCAACAAAATGGTATCCTGAACAGTAGTAAGTAGGATGATCTAGTACTCGTGCTTTTTCGCAAGCATTGCAATAAAATTCAGCAAAATCCTCTTCATCTGGCATGTCCTTGATTCGAGTAGTTGTATATATAAGGGGATCTATGTGGCAATCATGTTTTAAGGATTGTGGAGGTGAAGGATGGCAGTAATCATGGATGCTGAAGTCGCATTCTAAACAGCGAAAGAAATATTTACTGCAAGATGAATCACAGATGCTGCACTCGAGGTTAAAGAGTTCTAGTTCAAGGTCTACAAATGCAAGAGGATGCTGGTGAACTTTGGTTCTTTATGGGCGGATGTTTCAACCGAGAACACTTGGTGTCTAATCCAAAATCACACTCTCTGCATTTATAGAAAAAGAATCCGGTTGTAATACCACAAACTCGACAGGACAAACGTTCCAGGGATGACTCGGAATGATTTTGGGCAAGGATGAGTGGGTGCCGAGGATGAAAAGGATGAGCCATTTCAGGTGGCAAATCAGCACAAGATCGGTGGAATGGTAATCCGCATTGAAGGCAAAAATAAACAGAATCCTACAAATGAAGCCCACAGCCATAGCAGCGGGCTTGATAGTTCGATATGCCACTAGTATCACACTGAATCAAGGGATGCGGATGGCTTACAAACTGATTTTTAATAATTTCTTCATCTGAGCCAATTTTGTTTGTTCTTGGCTTCAGTTTGGAACAATCAAGGTCCAAAACGAAGTCACGCAAAGAACACTGAAAAACAAATAAGAAACCTGTAGAAGCACAGACGCTGCATTTGGCTGAAGAAACAGAGTTCACGGGCTGAAGTTTGAGAGGGTGATCAGGATGAAAAGGGTGCTTGATTTCACGTCCCTGAGCAGCACAAGATTCATCTAACAGACACTTACACTCCAGGCACGCAAATATAAGTTTATCATCGACAATAAGCTCATAGCAGCGGCTGTAACAGTAGTAAAAATCATAAAATTCATTTGGCTTGTCACATAAAATTAAGGCATGCTGATGATTTCCTTGAAGCTCTGCTACACGATCTGCATACTTCTTACTAGGCGTCAAGGCAGCACATCCAAGGTCCAGATCAAACGGACAATTGGTCTCTTCGCAGTGGTAGATACCATGCTTGATCTTTTCGCTGCAAACACTGCAGTATGTTTCATTGTCATAAGGCGATTCGTCGAGATAAACAAGAGTATGATGAGGATGAAAGGGGTGTATAATTTGTTGTTGAAATTTTGCCTAAGCTCTGTGCAGAAAGAAACTACATCTCTCACAGCCGTAGACAGTGGCATCTAAATCAAGTTGGCGCTGGCACATATGACATTTTCTTCCTGGCTGGTTGAACTTTCTGAGGCTCAGTGGATGTGGATGCCGGAAATGATGAACAGGATTTTCCATCTCTCTGACAATCAATACTTCAACGTTTCAATGATTCCACACTCTTACTAGTTCACAGTCTCACAGACTAAAGGAAGGCAAATTACCAAAAGCATCCTAACCGGCCAGTGGCCCTTGTGTCCAACAACTTTTTGAGTTAACAAGAATCATCTTTATGCTTTCCTTGGTTGGGATTGATTCTGGACTTAGAGGATTTTTTTTTCCTTTTTTGTTTTCCATTCATGATACATTCCCGAATGCATTAGTTACATAATTTTCTCTTCACTCGCAGTTACAGCAAATATTAATATGCGGCTCAATCCATTTGAAGAGAACTAAAGACCAATTAAAACCAGGCTACATCACATAGTTTGGTGTGGAGGTACTTGAGCTATTTGTGTAGGTATGAGAGGGAAAAGAACAGTTCTTTAGGCAAGAATTTCTTCCTAACAGCTTCAAGGAACAAAATACATCAAAAGTACTTCTTGGATTAAACTTCAAGCAACTGATCTATTACTCTATCATTCCATTCTTTGATTCTTACGCTTCACAGTTGACACAACATATCTGCTAGAATAGAGGTAACACTCTAAATCTGAAATCCAACATAGAACGGTGTAGTAAAAATCCATACCACTACATAATAGTGCAAACTACACGAAGCAAGCCTTCAAGTACCCTACAAAGGCAGCGAAGTGAAAGCTGCCTAAAACAGGCGCAGCTCCGCGCATCAGCTCTGCATAATACTACGCCTTCTGAAGTTTTACAGAAGGCGTTAAAAGCAAGCTATGAAGGAAAAACGTTTTCAAGAGTTTCAAGTATATGTTTTTGGGGTTTTGTGTTCACAAATTCTTCCACAATCTCAACAAACTCAGGAAACATATCACATGTAATGGCTATTCTAACTTCAATCTCAACTGATTGAGCATGGTGGTGCAGGTTTGCTAGACAGACTTGCAGACTTGTACAATTGATCTCGTTTTTACAGTTGATCTCGTTTTTCCAACAGATAATTTCTTCTGGAGGTAGTTCGCTTTGAAATATGCTCATAACGTCTTTGTCTAAGTTCTCCTATTTTTGCCATTAGTGCTTGCACATCCTTTTCGAGTCTCATAAGTTCCTCGTCTAGTTGATGCAGAACTGCATCCTCATCAGCTGAATCACCTGTAGACCCCAATTGTTCTCCAATGCTAGTAATGGCCAAGTGACTAGGCTCCTTGTGCAGGTAAGATATGATCTGGTAACACAAAATTGATCCCAAACGCACATATTAAGTTTGAAGCAATCCAAAAACACAGAAGGCTGTCAAAATTCAAGTTAATACCAAGAGTTGACTGTTGTCATACTCGTACCGCTGTTATCACGCAATGAACATGAGCAACAAAGTGGCATGATGAACAGAAATATGTGATACGGTCAAATGCTCGTCCTTCTTCACAGGCATAGCAATACAATTCTGCTTCTTTCTCCGGATCATCTGGAACCCCCTTGATTGGATAATCGGCAAATGTGAGGGGGTGTATGTGGCAATCATCTTTGATGGACAGTGGCAGCGATGGATAGCAGTGATCGTGGATGCTGAAGTTGCAATCCAAGCGTAAACACCTGAAGTAAAATTGTCTGCAAATACCAATACACAAAACACACTCAAAATTGTGTGTTTCAATGTCAATGTAAGCAAGAGCGTGTTCGTGGTATTTGGACATTATAAGTGGGAATGCAGATCTTGTACACTTAACATCCAACCCAAAGTCACATTCTCCGCAGCTGTAGAAAAAGTGGCCAGTAGATTGTAAGCACACTTGACAGGAAAATCTCTTGTGGTACCAGAAAGAATTTTTGACAAGTTTGAGCAAGTGGTTCGGGTGCAAATGGCTAGTGATTTCATTAGGCAAATCAGCACAGGATTTATGGAGTAGGATTCCGCATGAAAGGCAAGCATAAACAAGATCCTCAAAGCGGAGGCCGCAAGCAAAGCAGCAGGACCTGAAATTCTTCATACTGATCATTACTTCCACTTGAATCAAGGGATGGGGGTGGGTTACAGGTTGGATTTGAATATGCCCTTGGTCGGCTTTGCAGATTGTGGTAGTCTCGCCCAAGTTGGCACAATCAACATCGAGGCAAAAATCACATGAAGAACAAGTGAAGAAATAACCATTCCTTCCACCGCCACCACAGAGGCTACAGCAACGAGGTGGACGCACATAATAGAGAACGAGAGAGAGAGTATGTTGAGAGTGAAAGGGATGCTTGATTTCCTGCCCATGAGCAGCACACGGCTCATCTAACATGCATTTGCATTCAAGACAAACGTAAATCTTGTCATCATCTCCAAATTCAGTGTCACAGCGAGTGCAAGAGTAATGCAAAACATTTGGCCTGTCGCAAACAAGTAGAGAATGCCCGTGAGAATTCTGCAGCACCTCTACCCGATGATGATCATGAGAAGGTTTTAACAGAGCACACTTCAAATGCAAACTAAAGGAGCAGTCAGCCTCTTCACATCGGTACCAGCTTTTGAAGGGATAAGATCCACGAGAGCTGCAAGCGTCGCACCCTCTCCCAATAGCAATAGGATCAATGTGATGATGAAGGCGATGGGGATGAAAGGGGTGTGAAATATCCAGCTGCAGTTCAGCACAATGTTCGTGTAAGAAGAATGAACAACCTTGACAAGCATAAACTCTGGCAATTGGATCAAGGATTTCCGAGCACATGCCACATCGATCATTATGTCTTGCTCGACATTGGATTGTTGAGATGCTAAGTGGATGTCGATGCGTGAAATGAACAATAGTGTCCATATTTTTCTCCTCTCTTGCAGCCATTGCAATATATATCAAAAAGCTGCTCCCTCACTGCCTTGCAATAGAACTAAGGACCAATAATAAACAGAGGCTGCTGCTGCATCTATAGCAGGGTGGGATCTGAACGGAGGTGCCCAGATAAAGAAAGGCATTCAAGTTTTCATCATTTGCATCCTGGTGTCTGTATCATTTAACTCTTGTTCTTTTGTAGTATAAAGTGCACCAAACCAAAGGTGAAGGAAAGAAGAGAGTGGTTCCCAAGGTAAGAACAATTCCTTGGTAACAGCCCCAAGGAACAATAGTATAATACTATGTGAAAACTGAAAACGAGACCTGGAGACTATATATATGTATGTAGATTAGCTTCAAGGAACTCTTCCATGATTCCATTTTTACACTGTTTGTGTAAAGCAAGCAAACAGAGGATAGATAATATTACAATCAAAAGATCATAAGTTTGGTATTTTACGTGCCTCATTTCTGAAATTTATGGTTCGAAATGCCACCGGAAGGAGGCTGAGCGTTCCGCTACCACAACGCGAGCAAGAATCTGTGGAATCGATCATGACAAACGCGACCGCGACCTGGAACCATGGATATGATGGACGAGTTACAAAAGTAACACGGTCGATTTCTAAGGGCAAAAGGGAGGCATGTCTGAGACAAAATATCATGGCAGAATTTGGCGATCACCTGCGGAATCAATGATGAGGTAGTCCTGGAATTTGATCTCCTTCCCCGCTCTGGACTCTAGAACTTGTCCACAGTAAGTTTACAGTCAGGGAATAACATGAGTTTGGGAAACTTATGTTGGATGGCAATGTGCTTTTCAAATGCAAGAATAAAATCACCATGGCTGCTTCTGGAAAATTCCTTGGATTCCAGAAAGGGAAAATTGTCCAAAACGTCTTTTACATTTTGTAAAATAATTTTTTTCATCCCCCACTTTTAAAAGTGTAATTTTATGTCCCTCACATATTCACATCGATCAAATTTAATTCCTAACTAGGTTTCCGATCATTTTTTTATCGGAATCCATCATGTACAAGGCACGTGATCATTTTTTAAGGGTAAATTTATCAAATTATATTTTACATAATCTGATCTATAAGTCCTCCACATTTTATAAAACAAATTTTTTCGTCCCTCACATTTTATAAAATGATTTTTTCATCCTTCACATTTCACAAAATGAATTTCTCCATCCCTCACATTTCAAAAAATGAATATTTCCATCCCTCACTAATTATGTATGTGAGAGAAATAATAAAAAAAATGTGTGTGAATGCATTTTGTTTAAACACATGTATATGTCTATTTGATTTTGTTTAATAATACGAATAGCATAAATATATGTATGTGTTTATTTGATTTCACTTAACAATACGAATACCATATATTATACGTGATCATTTGATTTCATCTGGTATTAGCTAGTAAATAATCTTGCATTCATTGTCAAGTTGGCCAATAAAACTATTTTCGGTCAAAATACAATAAGAATATTTAAATTAAAGTTCTATTGGTAAATATTAGTCATAATCATACAAAAAGAGAAGATAACCTACAAGTTGGACCCAATTACATACACGTGTTTATGCTATTATTATTAAGCAAAATCAAATAGACATATACATGTGTTTAAAAAAATGTATTCACACACATAATTAGTAAGAAATGAAAAATTCATTTTTTGAAACGTGAGGAATGAAGAAATTCATTTTGTGAAATGTGAGTGATGAAAAAAATCATTTTATAAAATGTGAGGGACGAAAAAATTTATTTTATAAAATGTGAAGGACTATAAATCAGATTATATAAAATATAATTTGACAAATTTACCCTTCAAAAATGATCACATGCCTTGCACATGATGGATTCTGTTGACCTTGGTCGATCAATCCTTGGTTTTGATGATTAACAAACCAAAATGAAGATTTGGGCTAATGTTTTTATGTGAGCAATTTGTTAGAACAGATTCTTGTGGCACAAAAGAAGAAGCAAAAACAGGGCACTCATGTGGGACGTCCGGAAGGAAGCTATCGGACGTCCGAAAGGATGAAGAACATCAAGAAGGAAACTCTCTCGGACGCTCGTGAGGAAGCATCGGACGTCCGGAAGGATCGGACGCACATCGATCGCATCGGACGTCCGAGAAATTTCGCAAAGATTTGATGACTCTCTGACGACGTTCGGACGCAGGGTTCGGACGTCCGACAGGTGGTTCGGACGTCCGACAGGCCAACGGCTAGTTTTGACAGCATTTAATATTTGACCGTTGGAGAGCCCTTTGGAGCCATTTCTCACCTTCTATAAAAACCCCAAAACACAAGAAGACAAGGGACTTTTGCCAACACAAAATACAAGCTTACAAGTGAGATTTTTGAGTAGAAAGATTCTTTGTTGGTTGTATAAGGGGTTGGGAAAGTTGGGTTGTGAGGTTGCTCAAGTGAAGGTTATTCTCTAGGAGGAGTAAAACATTGGTGAAGGTGAACCTATCACTTGAAGTGGTAAAATCTTGGTGAAGGTTGCCTCATTTGTATAAAATAGTTCTTAATTGGGTGAGTGATCTTTCAAGTGTAGGTTGTTGAGGGTTAACTAGAATTGTTGTAAAACTCCTTGGCTCAACCAAAGTGTGTTTGGGGTGAGGAAGGAGTGAGCCTTCACTTGTACATCTTGGTTAGCATCGCCATCAATTGAAGAGGCTATTGGATTGATATTTGGTTTGCATTTCTTATCTTTTCTCTTTAATTAAGTTTTCTTTATTGTGCTTAAATTTGATATATCCTAGTGCATCATTGTGAAATTGTTTGTACTCGTTGGGTTGCACCGGACACTTACAATTGGTATCAGAGTTTGGTCTCTTTTGATCAAGCTTAACCGCTTAGAGTAAAGATCATGGCAACCATAAAAGTTTCTTTTTTAGAAGGGCAATCTATTGATAGACCACCTATGTTTAATGGTTCTCATTTTAGCATGTGGAAACAAAGAATGATGATTTTCTTACAATCCGTTTATATTGAATTATGGTATGTGGTAGAAGATGGTCCTTATGAAGCTAGAATAGTTGACTCTACCACCAATTTGAGTAGATTAAAGACTAGACAAGAATTGAATGAAAAAGACAAGAGATACCTTTCTTTGAATGCCAAGGCCATGTGTATATTGTACAATACATTAGATGTAAATGAATCTAGTAGGATTAAAGGTTGTAAATCAGCTAAAGATATTTGGGATAAATTGTGTGTATTTCATGAAGGTAACCAAGATATTAAAGAACAAAAGAAATATTTGCTTGTTTCTCAATATGAATTTTTCAAAATGCATCCTCTTGAAAATGTTGATAAGATGTGTAGTAGATTTTGTGACATTATTGAAGATCTTAAATTGCTTGGAAAAGAATATTCTTTGGGTGAGAAAAATAGAAAGATTTTGAATGCCTTGCCAAAAGAATGGGAAAACAAAATAAATGCTATAGAAGAGGCAAAGGATTTAAATTCTATGTCCATTGAATCTCTTGTGAATTCCCTAACCTCTTATGAATTAAAGCTGAAATTCAAAGTGCAAGAGAAAGAAAATGCAAGAATGTATAAGAGAGGCATAGCTTTTAAAGCATCTCAAGTGGGGGATAACCCATCCTTCATGGGTAATGAAAACATGGAAGTGGACAATGATATAACTCCTCACATCAAAAGTTTCAAGAAGATCTTCAACAAGAGAAGTTCAAGAGGAGATTGCAAAATTACATGGGATGAATGCAATTCAAAAAGAGAAAAAGAAGAGTTGGCCCAAATGGCACTAATGGCCGTTGGAGAAGATGAGGTAAGTTCTTATCACTCTTCTTGTGATGAAGATAATGAAGATGATGATGTGAAAATTCTTATGATTAAAATGCATAAAAGTTTGAGAAAATCTTATGCTAAAAAAAAAGATTTGAAAACAAAAATAAATGATTTGTTGGAAGAAAACTCCAAACTTTTTCAAGAAAACAAATGTTTGAGAATGGAAAATGATGATTTAAAAAATCAAAAAAGTGTTTTTGATTGCAAAAATAATTTGAAAAGGAAGTTGGAAGAGAAAACAAAGTTTTATGAAAAAATGTTGGAGGAACAAAATTTGTTAAAGAAAAGAATTAATGACTTGAACGAGTTTCTCCAAAATGAAAAACAAAAGTTTTCTCAAACAAAAGAAAGCAAATCTTTTCAAGGCACAAATAAGTTTGCTATGATAAGAAGTAAGAAAATTAGTTGCATTAAATCCACCTATGTGCAAAATACTTCTATCATGTGTCACTTTTGTTGCAAATTTGGACATATGCAAAATGATTGCTATGTAAAGAAAAATATGAGAAAAGGCATGAAATCCATGTGGATTGCTAGATCATGTCGTATTAACTCCCAAGGACCCTATAAAGAAAGGGTACCAAATGAAATTTCTCATATTTAGGTACATCATGAAGATTTGATCCAAGGTGTGCTGAATGGTTGTAAGTACATTTGAAAATTTTGATATTCAATATGGTCTTGATTTGAAAAATAAAGGGGGAGTTTGTTTTTTTTGATTGATGCCAAAAGGGGGAGTAGGATTTATTGAAATTTCTTTGTATGTTGGCACTTTCTAAGGGGGAGCTTTATTTGAACTTATTTGATAAAAGAAATCTTCATTTTGTTTGTCATCATCAAAAAGGGGGAGATTGTTGACCTTGGTCGATCAATCCTTGGTTTTGATGATTAACAAACCAAAATGTAGATTTGGGCTAATGTTTTTATGTGAGCAATTTGTTAGAACAGATTCTTGTGGCACAAAAGAAGAAGCAAAAACAGGGCACTCATGTGGGACGTCCGAAATGAAGCAATCGAACATCCGAAAGGATGAAGAACATCAGGAAGGATATTCTGTCGGACGCTCGTGAGGAAGCATCGGACGTCCGGAAGGATCGGACGCACCCCTCGGACGTACATCAATCGCATCGGACGTCCGAGAAATTTCGCAAAGATTTGATGACTCTCTGACGACGTTCGGACGCAGGGTTCGGACGTCCGACAGGTGGTTCGAACGTCCGACAGGCCAACGGCTAGTTTTGACAGCATTTAATATTTGACCGTTGGAGAGCCTTTTGGAGCCATTTCTCACATTCTATAAACACCTCAAAGCACAAGAAGACATGAGACTTTTGCCAACACAATATACAAGCTTACAAGTGAGATTTTTGAG